TTTCGCTCGGGGCATCTTCACTTCTCTGGGTTCCAGGATACTTTTCTCGCAGTGTTCCAGCCCGCGTTGCGTGAGACATCACTTGAGCTCTGGCCACATCCCTGTGTTGGATTGGTGCTGTCGCTTGCATCATTTCTTATCTAGTATGGTTGGTGTTGCCGTTCGATCGACAGCCACATCCCTGATTGGGAATGGTGCTCTTGCCCGAACGCTACATGCTGGGACGCTTACCAGCTTGGGGAGGTTGTATGGGGGGGTCTCTGGCGATGTGATTTGGTTGGATTCTTCCCCATGAACATCATACATCCCCGAAGCTGTGGCGTGTATGTCATGTGCGGTCATACGTTCGGGCCGTTCGCAAATGATCATCAGCATGTGTGTCCAACTCTGCCACACGTGAGAGCATGTGCGGCTTTGTGTTTCTTCAAGCCTTCGCGCCCTTGCATGGGCATGTGCATGCGACTGTGTGGCCTGTGCGTGCATGTGCGACTGCGACTGTGCGGCATGTGCGTGCATGTGCGGCCCCATCCGGACCTCGAAACGAAAACACTCTGGAAATGAGACCTATAGAAATGAGTCCGCATGTGCGCAGCTCCCCTCCCGATTGCGCATAACACGATGAGGTTTCTTTCGAGTTCCAGGTCGGCCATGACACGCGACCGCGGATAGAGAAAAATCACCGCAATGGGAAGGGACGGGAGGATCGGAGGTCAGATCTGGCGCGAACGCACCTAGCTTGTCCTGCCCCCCACTTCCTCCCCCCCTCCCTTCCCCCTCCTCCTCCATCCCTTCCCTACTCCTCCCCCGGGCAGCATCCCCGGACGTGTCTGTAGGGCGGGCTGGGCGTTCCGCTCTCACCACGCGTGATCCTGAAGTTTGTCGTGTGCACCGGCTTCCAGGATTGGACGGGGTGGTGGTTGTCAAAACGGGGGTCTCGCCCAAGCGCGGCGCACGTGTGTCTTGAAAGTGTGCTGCAACTTCTTGGATGGGTAGGTGGTGATTTCCAACATGGTGTTCTCGCCTTGGTGTTGCGCGCATTCGTCTTGAACGTTTGCCACAGTTTCCAGGGTGAAGATGGAGGGCGGGCCATTTTCATAATGGGTGTCCGCCTTAGCGCCGCGCGCATTCGCCTTAAACTTATGCAACACTTACAAGGATGGAGGCTGGCACTTTTTCAAGACTGGGCTATCGCTTGAGACTGTCTCGACGGACGCTCATAGCCAGAAGTGCGAGCTTGAGCGATACTTACATGGATGGTGCGGTCTTTTTTCGATACGAGGATATTGCTGGAAGCCTTCTTGAACAGTATGATCATACCTTTGGCTCAGAAAACTTCTCAGAAGGCCGGGGGACTTCCGAACCTTCTGAGAAGGCCTTTTCCTTCTCACGCCCCCCCCCCTCACTCGCCACCGACAAATCTGCGAGGCGGGGATTCATCCATGTCCGCCGCCTTGGAACCGACGCCCTGGTGCCCCAGCGGGCGGTGGAGATGGATATGGATATGGATATGGATATGGATATGGATATATATATATATATATATATATATATATATATATATATATATATATATATATATATATATATATATACATATTTTTACAGGGCCGGGGACCCCGGAAAAGCGGCACACGGTGCCCCCCCCAAAACGAATTTCGGCCTCCCCGAGCCTTTGGGGCGCTCCTGCAAAGTGTTCCGTGTCTGTCCTGCGAGTGCGACGCGAAGAAAAAGCCCCCACGACGGCCAAAGAGGGCCCCGAGACACCCAAAGATCGGCCCAAGACGCCCAATCTGGGCCCAAGACTGCCCAAGACGCGTCCAAGACGCCCCCAGAGACCCCCAAAGGCCTCCCAAGAGAGCCCCGAGAGGCTACAATTGTTGATTTTCCTTTGTCTTTCGATGTGTTTGGCCTTCTCGCTTTTCCCCCCTCCCGACGCTCCACAATGGCCCAAGAGGCTCCCTAGATCCCCCAATACTGCCCAAGAGGCCCCCAAGAAGGCCCCAGCACGGTCCAGGAGGGCTCCGAGACCGCCCATGAGGCGCCCATGACGGCCCAAGAGAGCACCAAAACGGCCCCAAGAGAGACCCAAGAGGGCACCCAAAAACTCAAAACTAAATTTTCCGCCGCGAGAGGGCCCCAAGAGGCCCGGAGAGAGCCCCCCGGAGGCCCCAAGAGGCCCCAAGAGGCCCCAAGGAGGCCCCCAAGAGGCCCCCAAAAGATCCCAAGAACCCCAAAACACCCCCAAGAGGCTTCAAAACTGCCTCCCAGAGGGCCCCGAGAGGCGCACCACGAGATCCCAACACAGCGGTCTCCCCCTCTCAGTTCTCTTTGTCGTCGCCTTCTTTCGTCGTCGTCGTTGTCGTATCAAATGGCGCAGCGAGGCCATTTTTCGTTCAAACCACCGAAGGACCCAAGAGCTCCTCCTCCTCTTCCCCATTCTCTTCCTCCTCTACCTCCTCCTCCTCCTTCTCCTAATTCCCCGTGATGTTTCACGCTCCGCCCCGCCAAAGGTCTAGCAGAAGCAGCTCTCCTCACTTCTCCCAAGTCTCTGCTGCGGATTTCTTCCGCGACACCTCGGCTGCGCCCCAGATATCCACATAATCTGTCCTCTTCATCCTCTTCCTCCTCTTCATCCTCCTCCTCTTCCTCCTCCTCCTTCTCCTCGTCCTCTTCATGCTCGAATGGAAAATCAAGGTTTTCGGGTTGTTTCTTCTGGTGGGTTTTCCGGCCTGGGGATTTCCTCCAGTATCTGCGACTCGCCGGAAGCGTTTTGGGGGCGCTGGAAACGTCGCGAACGGCCCCCGGAGGCCCGAGTCATGGCCCGAGAACCACGCGGGGGCATCAAGGGAGGAGAAGGAGGGGGGAGGGAGGAGGAGGATGAGGGGGAAAAGGGGGGCGAGGACGAGGAGGAGGGGGACGTGGGGGAGGGGGCGAAGACGAGAGGAGGGGGATACGGGGGATTGAGCACCTGGACGCGCTGCCCTTGCCTACCTTACCGGAGAGGGCCGGCCGAATCCGATGAGCCCTCGGGGGATTTCAAAACCTGCGTCGCCTCTTGCACTACCTTGGGGCCCCCTTGGCGGCTCGGGAAAAACCGTTCCTAATTCGGGGGGGTTCTCTCACCCTTTGCCGCTTGACTCGCAGAGAGGCCGAGCGGCGCCGCGCCGCGCCGCCAGGGATGGGGAGAATGGACAAACAAAGAAGCGGAGAGGGGGGAGAGGAAGAGGGGGAGGAACAGGAGGAGGAGGAGGGGGAGGAGGAGGAGGAAAGGAAAGGGAAGAAAAAAGGGGAGGAGGAAGAGGAGATAACGGAAAGTAGTCTAATCCGCTTCGCCAGAGATATGCTCGCAACTCCGACCTCAAAAGCGCCTTGCTTCGCATCGGTCCCGCCGTTTTCGCTTGAGACATCATCGCAGCTCTGGGGCCCGAGACACTCTCAGTTGAGGTGTTCCAGCCACTGTCGCCTGAGACACTCTCGCAAGTCTCACTTCGGAAGTGCCTTGCACCATGGTGGTTCGGCCACTTTCGCGTGCGACTTCTCGCAACTCTAAGTTCAAGGATGCCTTGAGCAGAGGTGTTCAGACCACTCCTCGCTTGAAACTTCCTCGCGCGGCTGACTTCGGATATGCCCTCCCCTGAGCGGAGGTGTTCAGGCCATTTTCACCCGGGACGTCCTCGCAACGCTGACCTCGGCGACGCACTGTCCCATGGTAGTCTGACCACGTTTGCCTGAGACCTTCGCGCCTTTTAGTGGCGCGATGATATGAGCAACTGGTCAGGCCACCACCGCCCAATATACGCATGTGTATGCGCACGCATAGTTACATTGACCATTTGCATATACATGTACATGTCCATACAAACGTGTATATATATGTACATATGTACGATGCATTCATAGACGCATGTGTGTGCGCATGTACGCACGCTCGCACTCCGCCAGCGTGCGAATTCCAAAGGACCAAGGTGCATGGCGCGCAGCGCCAATGCAGTCTTGTATATATATATATATATATATATATATATATAAACAAAAAAAACTATGCCCGTAGCCACCGCCTGCCGAGGTCCCCGAAAATTGATCCTCCAGGCGGTGGTCCTGTACGAACTCCTGCCTCGGAGAACCTCCTCGCTGCAAGACTGCATGCCGGCCGCCTCTCGCAGCGGAGCCCTCGCCCGGACGGCAGGCCCCGGGGGGCGTGCTGCGGCCTCCGCTCGGGCGCCCCGCGCCCCGTGCACGCCTCGGCGTCGTGCGCTTTTTGGGCTCGTGCGCGCACTCTTCGCAGGCGATCCGAGGTGCTCCCCAGGTGGTCACTGCACCGACCTTTGCAGACGTGCTGCAGCGGACTTGTGCGTGGATTCCTGTCAGTGCAGAGCCCCGACCCGGCGAGTGCAGAACGAAGTGAATTTCGCGCGGATGTTTGTTTCAGTCTTCATTCCTAGCCAAAGAAAACCCTCACGAAAGTCACTGCGAAATCCGGAACGAAATATTCCAGGACACTCCCGGCTCACCTCATTGAATTGTTTTCCGAGCGAAATCCGCTCTGCGATGTTGGCGCCATGACAATGGTCCTCGCCGAGGGAAAGACGTGCAGGTCCGAGCGATGCCAAGTTATTCAGGGAAAGTCTCGTGAATTGGAACGAAAGGCTTGTCGAGACTTCTACGGGTGGACTCGGGACGGGAGGGCGTGTTGCAGCATCATTGATGCATATTGGGTTTGCTCTGGTCCTCCTCCTCGGAGGAGAAGATACCGCTACCCCTCCCTCGTCGCCACAGCCGGATTCGCCTCGAACTCCTGCTCCCAACGCACCCTGGGAAACGTTTTGGGAGTAGCGGTCGTCCACCCGACGGCAGAGGGACGACGACGAGGACGGCGACGAATAACAACGACGACGAATGATGACGACGACGACGACGACGACGACGATGACGACGCCGACGATTCCAACAACAACGACGCCCGCGACCGACGACGACGACCGCCCGAGCAGCTGGTCGTCCGGGATGCGAAGCGTCTGCGGCATTTGCTGCATCTGCGACAGCTTCGACACCGAGTCCGCCAGCGCCGCGTGCCATGTGCGCACTGCGGGGCGGGCTTTGCTGCCCCTCTCTGAATGGAAAAGAAGCCCCGAGGAGTGGAGGAGCCCCGAGGAGCTCACGAGCGGCGAGCGAATCTATATCCACGCCCTCGCGGTCTGGACCAGGGGGCGCAATCCCATGGGTACGCGGTCGCGCGGATACGCGTAACGCGCGGGACACCCAAGAAAAAACGCCCCGTGTCCCCAAGGTCGCGGCCCAGTAGCCTCGCCCGCGAGGCGCGAAGCCAAGGATACGGAGATGGTTGTGGGGAAACAAAAAGGTACCGGTACCGATACCCCTCTGGGGTGCGTTCTGACCAGAATTTCGAGGCGAATCCAGCGGTGGCGACGAGGGCCAGCCATGAGGCCCAAAAGGAGAAAACAGGCGAAGGGTAGCGGTATGGGTACCTCTTCCGCCTCTGAGTTTTCCGCCCGCGAGGAAATTTGGGGAAGAGGTTACAGTGGAGAAGTAGTGGCGGCACAAATGTAAAGCGCACGCTCGGAGGCCCGCGGCGGACACCTAAAAAACACGAGGATCTGGGGCGCGTTTCCTTCTTTTCGGCGATCATGGGCATCAGGGGGGGGGATGGCCAAGGGGGGGTATAAATGTAACGCCTCCCCCCCGCCGTGAGACCGATGCACACGGCGGCAGTGGCCGGAGCGCAATGGGGGGGAGGGGCGTTACGTTACAGGGGGGGGGGGGGGACAGGGGCTATAATGCTCATTATGCCCCAAGCAATGGAGAAACACGCTCAAGAAAAGTCAGAGTCTTCGGAAGGATGTTTGACAGCAGCGGATCCTTCCAGAGAGCCGCTTTCAGTAGGCCCCGTGAGCCCCGCGAGTCCTTGCTGAAGCCATGACCGAATTATCCCGACGGTAGGACCCCACATGGAAATCTTCCGAACTACCGCGCGCCAGGGGAGGGGGCCCCAGCGCCCATCCAAGAAGTCCGCTCGGAGTCCGGTTTACGTACGTGCCAGCTTCCTTCGGGAGGGGCGAGGGGGGGAGCGGAGAGGGAAGGAGAAGGAGAAAGGGAAGAGGGAGCGGAGGGGACGGCGTGGTGGGAGGCAATGAGGAGGCTAGGACGGCCTACGGAGGCCCGCAGAGGCCCTAAAAGGGCCGACGACGAAAACACAAAGAAAGCACTCGAACCCCGGCCATGCCTCCTCGAACGACGACGACGAGCCCTGGGCCTCTCCTGGGGTGCGTTCTGGCCCGCGCCGTCTCTCGAAGGGAACCCAGCCGTGGCGACGACAGCGCCCCCCAAAAAAGACCAGAGTCCCGACCCTCAACCTTCATCCGCAAACCTGGACCAATGGCGACGATCGACGACGACGACGAAAACGACGACGACAACGACGACGACGACGACGACGACGACGACGACGACGACGACGACGACGACGACGACGGTGCAGACGACGACGACGAAGACGGCGACGACGAAGACGGCGACGACGACGACCACGACGACTGCGACCTGGACAATGGAGACGGCGGTTGTAACGGCTTAGGCGACGACGACGACCGGACGACGATGATGACGATGACGATGACGATGACGATGACGATGACGATGGTGATGGTGATGGTGATGGTGATGATGATGATGATGATGATGATGATGATGATGATGGTGATGGGTATGGTGATGGTAATGATGGTGATGATGATGATCATGATGATGGTGATGATGATGGTGATGATGATGATGATGATGACGACAACGACGACGACCCGTGCGAGAGAGAAGGGGCAAACCTCTAAAACGTCGGACCTTTGGAATCCTTGGGAAGCCCTGGCAGGCGTTTGGTTGCCCTGGAAAGCCAACGGGAATGCCTTGAGAGGCCCTGCGTGGCACTGCGAGGTCCCGAAAGGCCTTGGGACGCTCTGGAAATTGTGATCCCGGCGGTCCCTGGAGTCCCTGGAGGCTCCCAGACGGCAACGTCTAAACACTCGGCACTCGATTCTCAATCGCTCGAGCCTCGAACCTCGCACGACGACGACGCTAACGACGCGTTCGAGCACGACGACGAAGACCTCGACGACGGCGACGGCGGTTGTGACGGCGACGGCGATAACGACGACGACGACGACGTCGACGACGACGACGGCGACAATGCGACAACGACCTCGACGACGACGACGAAGACGACGACCGCGACGACGGCGACGACGACGACCTGGACAACGGCGACGGCGGTGCTAACGGTGGAGGCGACGACGACGACGACGACGACGACGGCGACGACGACAGCGACGATTGTGTTAATGGCAGCGGTGACGACCGCGACGCTGCACCGCGCGCCGGCGCCTGTCTGCAGCTGCTCCGACCGAAGGCGCACGGGCCCGCCCTTCGCGGCGAAGCTGCACTCGCGCCGGGTCTCGTTCAGGGACAGGCCGGTGACATCGGCGAGCCTGCGGCTGATGAACAAAACCCTGCACCTTGTCAGAGTGAGCGGTCCGAACGGTCTTACACCATCCCCGAGTGAGTGGGTGAAGTGGGACTACGTGGCCTGGGTTCTGCTTGAATTCTAGAAAGAACCGATCCCCCCCTGCTTCTTGATTTCTTTTTGAATCTTCCATTCTAGAAGAAAGAGTTCTTCTCGAATGCTCCACTCTGCTGGATTATGTTGTTGATCCCCCCCCCAGTGCACCCCTGAGTTCTACTGGTTGTAGTGGCCCCCAGGACTCGCACACTTTTTTCTTACCAAGGGGAATCTTGGGGCTCAGACTGGCCCCCTGGCCCTGGAGCTGCAACAACAGCAGCCATCATTGTAAGACTGCTCGCTCCTATCTGCTCGCGTGTCGCTCAACATGAAAATTTCGAACCTTCGGTACCCGCCCTCGTCGTCTTCGATCGCACCATTCTTGGGTTACATGCCACGTGTACTTGGCGCAGCCCCTACCACAGGGGAAGGGAGGGAGGAGGGAAAGGGCAAGGGGGAGGGAGAAAGGTGGAGAATTAGATAGACTATTAGAAAGAGGTGAGGAGCAGGAAGACACGCGGCAGAAACAGACGGTCGGTTCGAGCGGGCGGACCATAAACGGTCGAATCGAACGAGCCCAGACGGCCGGGTCGCCCGACCCGACCGTAACGGCCCAGACGGGCTAATCTCTCCCGTGCTCCATCCTTCTCCCTCCCCCGTGTCTCTTCCCTCCTCCATCCCTTCCCCTGTTTTAAGGCTGCGCCAACTACACGTGGAAGGTAGAGAGGATATACCCCCAAGAGGTGTACGATCGAAGACGAGCAGGGCGGGTATTGAGGGTTCGGGATATACATGTTGACTGATACGCGAGCAAATAAGAACGAACAATCTTAAAACCGCTGTGGAATAAAGAACATGTGCTGCTGCTTCTCCCCTGTGCAGCGCCCATGGTGTTCTGTTAATTGAAGTACCCCTCCCAGAGCTCGCATCCTCCTGTTTTGCAAAAAAACATTGGGACTCGGACTGGCCCCCTGGCTCTCGAACTACAGCAACAAACGCTCCTGCCTTATAGTTCTTCACCATCTATCCAACATCGCACTCTTGCTCGGAACGTCCTCGCGATTAATCCAGGAATCTCGCTCTCGCGTCGGACTTCCTCACACTTTGTTCAGACGCCGCGCCCTCGACACTCACGAACCACGCGATCGTGTGGACTTCCCCCCGATTTACCTGCGAAGCGCGCTGCCGCTCGAGACTTCCCTGCGAGCGATCCTGCAGGATTAGCGCTTCAGCGACCCACCCACTTGACCCGGCCGTCTGGGCCTGCCCGCCAGACCCGCCCGTTAGGGTCCACCCGCCCGACCCGCCCGTCTGGTTCCGCCGCTTGCACTCCTGCTCCTGAGTCCCTTCCCGCGAATCTCTCTCGTGCTCCATCCTTGTCCCTCCCCCGTATCTCTTCCCTCCTCCATCCCTTCCCCTGTTTGAGGGCTGCGCCAAATACACGTGGCGGGCAAGGACGCTATAACCCCAAGGGGGGCACGAACAAAGACGAAGAGGGCGGGCATCGCGGTTTAGGACATATGTAGGATGGTACGCGAGCAGATAAGAACGAACCGTATTAAAACGATGGTGGGATGTTACGTTCAAAAAATACCTCCTGATAGTCCCCTTTGCGCGGTGCCCACTGTGTTTTTTGATTGAAGTGCCCCTTCCATGGACCCTCACCCTGCCTTTTTTCTACCAAAGAAGATATTGAGGCTCAGATAGGGTAGCTGGTCAACGGTTTTTACAACAGCAGCAGCAACAACAGCAACAATCATTCTAAGAGTGTTCGCTCTTATCTGCTCGCGTGCCACTCAACACGTACATCCCAAACCCTCGATACCCGCCCTCTTCGTCTTCGATGGAAGCCCCTTCAGGGGTACATCTTTTTCACCTGCAACGTGTATTTCGTGCAGCCCCTGAGGCGATTGCGGTGAGTGGTTAGCGTTGGCTGGTGCACCTCTGCGGCCGCGCTGGCCCGCGGCCCACGCATGCTCGCGCGCACAACAGCCAGCTGGTTTGGCGCGACCGACGCGGCCGCGGTGGCGCTGACTGCTGGGCACTTCAGTGCGAGTTGGTGACTTGGGCGAGCGCGGTATCATGGCGACGCCGATAACGGTAGACACGACTATGAGAGCATCATGATCGTGATGATGGTGACGATGACGACAGCAAGGCCAATGACGGCGCCGATGTTGACCACGCCAACCGATAATGATGACGATGTCCCCGTCTCGGCGATGAAAGTTTTTGAAGGAATTCGACATGCGCGCGCGGCCGACGCGCACGAGTGGCCCTCGTGGCAAGGGCGTTCGAACGAGTTCGACATGCGGCGCGAGAGGTCCGCTTGGCAGGATTTGATGAGCATATTGAGAAACCGATGGTTGTCTTAAGAATCTCCAAGACAGCGAGCGCAAGCTTTTGTCATATATGATGTTGAAAGCACCTTTTTGGCTACCGGGGCACTCATTATTGAAGTCCTTGCGGTACATCAGGTTGTTGAATGATCTTGGCATGCGCGCGCGACGACGCGCGCGTGCGCACTTCGTCCCATGTGTTGCAGGGGATTCTTGAAAACCTATGATTTTTGAAAAACAAGTGCACATGCATAATATCTGTTGCAGAGGATGAGATGGGGCGATACCGGCCTGCCTGGGATGGTCTGCGCTCATGTTATGAATGAACGATGGGGCAAAACCATATGCAAAATGCAAACCGAAACAGTGTACTGTTAATCCTAGGGTAGACCCTAATGCTCTCTTAGAAAGGAAAATCGATGTGGAGTGTCCTATGATATGGGACGCACAGAGACATACAAAAACTATAGGTCTTGCTTGGAGGCGCGCATCCGACCCGAAGATGAAGTATACCCATATTGTAGCATATCGTTTTCCGAACGGTACGGCCAGAAAGCGCCCGCCACGACGCATATAATACAAGATTTCTCGGTGCGCACGTCGCCCCTGGGGGGGGCGACGCACATACAAGATAAGTATGTTGGGGCAACGCCGATGATATGCAAGCCATGCGGGTGCGAGCTATGTGGTGCATTCCATGTGGTATGAGCTTCGAAATGTCCGTGACCGCTCGTGGCCGCGCCGAGGCGGCCACGGGCGGCAACGTGGCAACACCTCGCTGCACCCACCCAGCGCACGAGGCGGCCACGAGGCGGCCACGGGCGGCAACGTGGTGAAACCTCGCCGGACCCACCCAGCGCATGAGGCGGCCACGAGGTGGCCACGGGCGTCACGTGGCGAAACCTCGCCAGATCCACCCAGCGCACGAGGCGGTCGCGAGGCGGCCACGGCAGGCAATATGGCGAAACCACGCCAGACCCGTCCAACTCACGAGGCGGCCACGGGCGGCAACGTGGCGAAACTTCGCCAAACCCACCTAGCGCACGAGGCGGCCACGGGCGGCAACGTGGAAAATCCTTGCTGGACCCATCTTATTCCTCAATGACATAAGTAAGCACTCCTAATTGTAAGCGCTGTTTGGGGAATCAACTTTCGGAACTCCGCGCGGATTTCTTGGATCGGCGCTGGGCCCACTGGCGGCGCCTCTGGCGCCGATCCGAGAAATCCGCGCGGAGGTCAGCACAATTATGCTTGTGCTGCTTTTCTTTTTTGACGTCCACCCAGACATCCGCCGACACATTGTTTTGTTCCGCGGCCTCCGACGCCCCGACCGTTACCCCAGGAATTCGCTTCTTCCCAAATCCGTTTTTGGCGGTTCCGGGGCCCGATGATGGCCTCGGACCTCCCGAAAGGGAGGAGGGCCGACATCAAACGGCAAAAAAAATCTGGCTGAAAACATCACATCGCTGGAGATCTGAGCCCAGGCGGCTCCTGATGACCCGGGGGCTCTGGGAGTCCGCCGGGGCCGACAGGCTCAGCGTGCCGCCGTCCAGGAGGAGGTGGCACCGCTCCCACTTGCCGATCACGCCGGGGCCCCTCAGCTGCAGCTCCCCCTGCAGCCTGCCCCTTCCCCTCGGGGGGGGAGGAGGAGGAGAAGGAGGAGGAGGAGGAGGAGGAGGAGGAGGAGGACGAGGAGGAGGAGGAGGAGGAGGAAGAGGAGGAAGGTCCCTTCTGTCGTTCGCCCTTTCCCTGCTTTCTCTCTCCGCCCTCGCCTCTCGCCCTCGCTCGTCGCGCGGCCCCCGCTCCTTCGGCGCGTCCCTGCTCCTTGTCCTTCTGCTTTTTGGCCTGTCGAGTGAGGCTGGGCTTGCCTCCTTCTCCTCCTCGCTCTGCCCTCTGCCTCCTCGTCCTTCTCCTGCACCATGAGTCCCTGGGGCACAGCTCTGGCATGCTGCGAGGATCGAAAGGCGAGGATAGACGTGACTTGCACGTGGGACCTTCTTGGGGGGCCTCCTTGGGCGGGACTTGCCTTGAAACTCTAGCCAGAGCGCACCGCAGGGCAGGGCCCCCGGAGTCAGTGCTTCGCCCCCGGGACCAAGACCTCCGAGTGGCACAAACTACCCAAAGGGCGTGCCAAATCCATCAGCGGCGCGCGGCAACATGGTCGGGCCCATCCAGGTCGAACGGACATTTGAAAAAGGCGCGTGCTTTTCCACACCTCGGCTTTGCCAGGGGGCTCTTAGGTGCCTGACGCGGTTGGCCCTGGCATTCCCTGGGGTGGGTTCTCCGGTCCTGTTTCCTTGCAATGGCCTTCGCAGGGGGGTCCCCGGTCATCGACGAAGCTGCGCGCGAAAAGTGTGCGCTGCGCCAAAGCGGGAACACAGTTCTCTAGAAAAGCGAGGGCAACGCCGAGGCGAGAGCGACAGTTCGGCCTGTCGCGTGGGATGTGCGCCGCGTTCCATTCATGCCACGCGTTTTGCACCCTTGACGACAGAACGCCCACGTTGAAACGAAAAGCATTCATTCAATATTGCTTTGTGGCCGGTGGGTGGGCCGTCCCGAATGTGGCCTCAATCGGCCTGTTTTGTGGCAGAATAGAAATTTACATGAATAGCTAACAAGGATAGAAAAGAATATACGGGAATTCAATATACTAGAACAGAACCGAAACTAAGAACATAACCGAGTAGAATATCACATAACCGACTAGAAAGAAGTACGATACAATAGAACCCATGCGAATCGAATAAGCTAGTGTCAAATAGAACGGCCATTAATATAAAAGAAAATAATAACATGTAACCTATAATAACATTGTATGCCAACGTAATTAACCATGATAGGACATACTGGAACGCATTATAGCATGATTGAAGGAAGCAATAGAACAAACGAGCACACAGTAGAAAATAGTACAACCTAATACCACATAGTGGAAATCAGTACAGTACGATGATCATTAATGTGATAGATAAGAGAATACTATAACCCTGTATGATGACATGACTAGTGTAATATGATAGAATATAACGTGTTATAATATACTGCGGCATAGCAGCATATACGACGATATGATACAGTAGCGGGTAACAGCGGACAAAAGCCAACGAAATAAACAACGAATCGGTCATGTTATATGCTAGAACTGATTGAACCAGGAAGGATCGAGTATCATATAGAACATAGATCAGGGTAAGGCGCAACATCTTCTTGACTAAACTAGGAGTATTAAGTGACATGTACACTCACCTAAGACAACAAAGGGCAAGAGTGGAGTAAAACCAGGGCCGACTTGAACATCATCAAACATATGAGCTGAGAAGAGCAGAACAGAGAGGAGGATAGTATACACAGAGGGAAGTAGAATGTCAGCCCAGTAGCAAGAGAAGAGTCGACCAGCAGGAGAGTTGAGAAGAGCAGAGTAGGATGGAACAGGGTGGGCGTATAGTGCTTCAGGGTAGAGCAACGCAGAGCATAATAGAATCTAGAATGCCTGTGGATTTCGGGCAGTTCCCCGAAGAGGGGCCAGAGCTCGCCGATGGCCAAATCCACCTACGGGCCTTCCACGCTGGGGCCCCAGCCAAGCGCCGAGGGCGAGGCGGGCTTGCGCGAGCCAGACACTGGGAAATAATGCAAGCTGGCTCGCGCTCGCAGGTCCTCGCCGCCACTGGCGTGCCTCTCCTTGGTCAGACAGAAGTGCATATGCCATCGGGCTCGGCGCTGCAGTTGGGGCGAGCGAGGCCCCAGCGCCTGCCGGCCCCGTCGCGGCGGGGGAATCCGCCGCCGCGGCTGCCTCCCCTCTGGCGCGCGCCCCGCCGTCGCGGCCGCGGGCTGCCGTGGCCGCCTCCCTCCCCTCGTCGTCGAGGCTCTGGAAGGCGTCCTTCCAACTCTGGCTCGGCGTCACTGGCATCCCGGGCCCCCGCGCCCCGCGCCCCCTTGGCTGCCGCGCGGGCGTCGGGCCGCGCGCCCGCGTTGAGCGCGCCCTTCCTAGGCTCGACGGCGGCGCCGCCGCCGCGATTGCCGCGCCGCTCGAGGAGGCCGGGCCCAGCGAGCCCGCGGCGCCCACTGCTGTAGAACCTCCGGCAGGCGATGACGGAGTCGGGCTGGGGCGCTGGACGCCCCGGGCCTGCGACGATGCGCCGCTGGGCCAGCGCGTGGTTCTTGAAGCCCCATGGGTTGGCGCGTTCCTCGCTGCTGTCTGCGGGTCGGGCGGGTTGCCTCTGCTACCGTCGCCCCGTCGCGGGGCTGCCGGCTTCGCCCGCGGCCGCGGCTGCCGCGGCCGCCGCCGCGGCCGCCGCCGCCGCCGCGGCTGGCCCGGCCCCGGCAGCTGCGCCCCCCGCCGCGCTGCCCTCGAGGCCGCCGAGCTGATCAAGGTCTCTCCCATCCGGAAGATGTCCGCCGCGCGGCCCCTGATCTCGCGGGCCCCCGCGCGCGCGCAGCTTGCCCGCGCGGAGCGCCGCCGCTGCGGCCGCCCCGCCGAGGCCGAATGCACTGTCGAGGCGGCGGTCGGGGAGCGCCAGGTGGGCGCCCTTCTCCGCATCAAGTCGGCGCGCCGGTTGCCCGCCTTCTGCTGGCCGGTGCTCAAGCGGATTGGAAACACCGCGCCGGTTCTTGTAACTGGGGGCTCAGCGGGAGCCAGGCCGTGTCGGGGCCCAAGTGGCAACGCGACCTGGCGCATCCTCCTCCACTCCTCCTTCTCCCATCCCGTGCCCTTCTCGTTGTGGATGGGCCCGGCGAATGGTCTCGCGCTGTTTGTGAGGAAGCATTTGTTTCTAGTGCAGCCTGCCGCCGGGGTAATTCTCGTTGGCCCCCAAGAATTACCGCGCCCGCAAGGCGGCAACGGCGCCGGGCCCCTTTTCGGAACTTCGAGGTTCCGAGCCTGGCGACGCACATGATTTTACATATGACATGTCGCACGCGCGTCTTTATTGCGGGTCGCAGCTGTGTTCTGAGATGTGCGCATATGTGTAAACACGTGTATACATGCATCACGATTGGCGCGCACATATTTCATGCAGGATTTTGAAGATTGCTGCTGTAGGGGACCCTCTGGGAAGTCCTCTTGGAGCCTTCTTCGGGTGTCTTGGAAGCCTGGAGCCGTCTTGAAGCCAGATTGACCGTTTTGGAACGATTTGAGGCTGTCTGGGGAGCCTCTTGTCTTGGGGTTGGAAGGAAGAAGTCACATGGACGAGAGCTTCTCCCAGCGCGGGAGTGCCCCCCGCTGGGGGCCCCCCCATTGCCCCCCCCCGGGGCCCGCCCCTGGGACCCCCCATTTCGAATCAACGACGCCAGCCAGCGCTGGATGGTTTTTCCCCAAACAGCTTGCTGAACGGGGCGCTGTTGTGGTAGAAGCTAACTCCGGCCGAGGGAGTTCAAAGCAGAGGCGTCCTCAACAAAATCTGGTGGTTCGGGCCGTTTCGCCTGAGACATCCTCACAACTCTCGTTTCTGAGTTGTCCGGGATTGGGCCGGGATTGGGCGTTTCGCCTGAGACGCCCTCCTGAATCTGAGCTCCGAGCTGCCGCGCGCGAGGTGGTCCGGCCCGTTTCGCCCGAGACATCCTCGAAATTCTGGGCTCCGAGCTGCCGCGCGAGAGTCGTCCGGGCCGTTTCGCCTGAGACGTCCTCGCAACTCCAAGCTCTGAGCTGCCGATCGCGAGGTGAGCCGGCCCCCAGTCTCGCCCAGCTGGGTGCTGAACGGGGTGCTGAACGGGGCGCCCCGCGGCGCGCCCCGCGGGCTCCGTCGGGGGCGCGTGGGCCCTGCCTGGGCCCGCCTCCCCGGCGGCTCCCCGCCCGTCCTCCTCCTGCTGCTGCTGCTGCCCGTCGTCGTCGTCGTCGTCGTTGTCGTTGTCGTCGTCGTCGTGATTGCGTGATTGTCGTCGTCGTTGTCGTCGTCGCCTCGGCCTTCCAAGGCCTGGAGGCGGAGGGGGGTGCGCGATGCATGGTAGAGCACGGCATTGCGCGGCGTAGAGGAGCGCGGCAGAGCGTAATTAGCATGTCATAGCACGGTGCGGCATTGCGTCGTGAAACATTGCATCACAAAGCAATGCAAAGCAAAACGTGGCATCGCACAGCGGCGCCCAACACAACACCGCGGTGACGACGATGCGGCAGAAGAGAAACATAACCAGGAGGATAAGGAGGATAATGCGAAGTGGGGCGAGGATGTATAGGAGGAGGCGGAGGCAGGGCATCAGGAATACGAGGAGGATAGCGATGAGGAGGAAGGAAAGGAGGGTAGGAGGAGGAATGTGACTAGAAGGGAGAGAAAGAGGTGGAGTGTGAAGGCAGGCGGGAGAGGCGAGAATGATATTTCCCAAGAGGAGCACGTAGACGATGATGACGACGGGGCGCGCCGATCAAGAGCAGGGGGGCGATAATTGCAGGACGCGCGAACAGACTCAGGATCCACCCTGGCTCTAAAAACGCCGCTTGGGGATAATGCACTTGAGCTGACGCGCCCGAGGAGGAAAGGTGACCGCAGAAGGGGGGGGGAAGGTGAAAGCCGCAGAAACGCGAATCCGCGGACACGCGAAGCCGTATTCCTCTCACGCACGCCGACAGGGTCGGCGGATTTTAACTGCAATTTACTGTTGGTGTCAGGGATCGGTCAGAGTCTTGCGGG